GCCTACACTTCTCGAAAACTTAAGACCGTTTAAGGCACCGATTTCTCCCAAATCTCACTTAGACGCAAGCTGGTATTTTCTTTGCCCGCCTTAACCCGTCTCTTCTGCAAATTGTCAAGTTCATGGGCCACAAAATGCTCCATTTCATCGAGAATTCGAGTGCGTACAAATTGTGATTAAGCCCGCGCAAGCAGTTTTCGGGCCAACTTACTGACCTGCAACCAGGGGGGGCCCTGAAAGAATTATACTTGGAAACGTCTGTGTTATTGGACAAGGAGTGCGGAGGCAGAACTGTTTCCATTTTAATACACAAAATGGCAAACTGTATGTTGCTGAAGCTCTAGCATACAACATTTCAGAATTTACTTTAATAATAAAACTCAACGCTCTTGCTGAGGGGATTCAGATGTCATTTAATTAAAGTGCAAATGCTTTAACGTACGAATGCATTTTTGCCATACTTTGTGAGCATACGCTATTTCAGAATTGCTTCATGACAATACTGGGTACAGTAAGTTTGCCCAAAGGGATGCAGATTTTCAGAACTCTTATCAATCTCTCTTTTTTTCTTGCAACGGTAGACCGCACACGTGCCTTTTCCTGCATCCATGGTCCCATTCTGTTTCATTTCTCAAGGTATGCATTTTGCCACTCTTCTTGGCCCCTTTTTCTCCTTTTCCTGACTCATCCGTAAAAAAAATGAGGAGAAAGCGAACTGAATACTTGCACCATCCCCTTGTGGGGTTTGTTATGCATGATGACGCACACGATCGCCAGTAGTTGAGGCCCCTTAAAACCATCACAACCTCCCCGCGACCAGTACATGACCAGCACATGACCAGCACATGACCAGCACATGACCAGCACATGACCAGCACAAGACCTCCAGCCTGACCTCCAGTCACAAGCTATTTTGAAGGAACTCCAACAAAAGCATTTTTTGCCACTGTTCACCTGTACTTGTCACTAGTCCTGCGACAGGTCTTGTGTCTGGTCTGTGATAGGTCTTGTGTCTGGTCTGTGATAGGTCTTGTGTCTGGTCTGTGATAGGTCTTGTGTCTGGTCTGTGACAGGTCTTGTGTCTTGTCTGTGATAGGTATTGTGTCTGGTCTGTGACAGGTCTTGTGTCTGGTCTGTGACAGGTCTTGTGTCTGGTCTGTGATAGGTCTTGTGTCTGATCTGTGATTGGTCTTGTGTTTGGTCTGTGATAGGTCTTGCAATTGGTCTGTGGTGGATCTTGTGACCGAACCTGAGGCAGATCTTTGTGACTGTACTTTTGACTAGTCTTGTGTCTTGTCTTGTGACTGGTCTTGCATCTGATCTGTGACAGATCTTATGACTGGTCCTGCATTTGATCTGTGACAGCTCTTATGACTGGTCCTGCATTTGATCTGTGACAAATCTTGTGACTGGTCAATTGACAGGTCTTGTGACTGTACCTCTGACTGGTCTTGTGTCTGGTCCTGTGACTGAACTTGTGAATGGCCTTATGTCTGGTCCCTGCAAATGGTCTAGTGCCTAGTCTTGTGACAATCTCAACAACAAGAAGATCACTCACAGAATATGCGCACTTTCGGACAACTATCATTTTGGAGTGGCGGTGACACTTTCTTCCCTTTCCAAGGTCCCTTGAAAAGCATGAAGTCGAGAAAATAAGCAAGGCATACAAATGTACATCAATCCCTGTATAGTAAACTTCAAACTACCTTCACAGTAAACATTTTGCTTGCCTTGACAATTTACAGGCGCATGCACAGTCAGTGTTGCATCCATTTTCTTCTTTCATCAGGCACATTTTACTGCTCATTTAGAAGAACCCCAGGTGAGGGGATGGCATCTTAGTGTGTGGCCAGACACCCAGCCGTACCCCCCTCCCTCCCTCCACTTCCTCCCCCCCTCACAAACAACGGACAATGAAGGTTTGGCATGTCAGGAATGCTGAGGTTCTGCCACTAATTGATTCTGATCGCAGACTGCCCCCCCCCACGGAGGAGCCAGCCGGTCTCAAGGCATGCAGGTGTGAGGGCCGGTGGGTATTTACCACTAGAGGGTGCTACACACACTATACAGTGTCCAATTTCTTCAAATACTTTTGACAGGTACTGCATGAAGTGAAATCGATTTGTGTACTGGTCACTTCAAAAAAATCAAGAGAAAAGCCTCAGACTCAAATTTTGACACTCTAGGCAAAGAGTTGGCAAATGAGACTCAACTTTTGAAATGGCATTTTAATGTTTGAATTTATACAATTTTATCGTGTGACTTTTAGAAGATATTTCTGCCCTCTCTAAACTTTGTATTGGAGATTTGTCAGGGTGAAAATCCTCTGACACTTGTTGGAACTATACAAGTAGATTTTGTAAGGTTTTTTGTTAATGGTTTTACGTTTTTAAGGTTTAAAACAATGCTTTGTTTATAATACAGTCATTTGCAAAAGTTAAAAACACCAGGAATTTTATTGGTATTTCTGTCACTGGGTCTGCATTACATTGTCTGATTGGATAATTACATAACATGTTTTTACAGTGGTGCATAACATCAGTGTAGTGCTATGTGCCCATTTGAATGAATTTTTTTGCGAAGGCAGGTCTTGTATGACATTTTGCCTGTAAGGGAAAAAAATGCCAGTCTAAGTAATCAGAAATAAAGGTGACTGTTAACATTTCAAATCATGGAAATGTAGTCAGATAGCTGTTAACCATGATACTATGGTTGCACATTGAAAAGAAACATAATTTTCCATGATTGATTGGTTTAAATTTGGTTTTTCTTCAGGTTGATGCATTGATGCATGACTGTGGCACTCTGAGGCAGACTTTTCTGTGATTATTGCAATGAGTTTCTCTATTGTTATTTCACTTTTGTTACATTGATGTTTCAACTCAAAACGGATCATGATCCATTTTAAAAAACTCAGCCCCAGTTGTGGTTGAAAGTTTGGCTGGATTGAGCCAAGCGAGGGCGCTGTAACTGCTGACTGGTGGTGCAATTTTTACGTAACATCTAAGCTGCTCAGCACATTCGATTATCCACGAAATATGGTATTTGTATTTGTAAAAGTATTTGTACTGTTTTACTTTTAATGTTGAGGTACAGAACTTTGTTTTGTTTTGTGATATTGTTTTATCTTAATTTTTTTTCTTATATTGTTTTATCTCAAATCGGAATTTTGAGTTTTGTTTTTTTTTTATGTAATTTTTTTCCAAGTCCATTTTCTTAACTGTGCCTTTCTTACTCTAACACACTAGTTTGATTTGTGTAGTTTTCTAATTTTCTCCATGCTAGAATGTATTTTTGTCATTGTTTTTACATCTTTTGTGCAGCCTTCTCAACTAGTTTTATTCAGTTTTAGTCTTACTGTTCATCTAGCTCATGATGTACCCTTTAAAATTTGTGCAACTTTGTCATTCTGTGTTAATTCTTACCTTTGGGGCTTTTTTTTTCTATGTCTTAATGTTTTCCTGTTTTACAAAGTAGTTTGGGTTTATTTGTTGTCTTCTCTTATTTATGAATAACTTTTGACCAAATTTTGTAAATTTTTCGTTTTGGTTTCTCTGTTTTATATTCCTGTATATAATAATTGGTTTATATGTTCAGGGCCCTCATTAATAGCAGTAAGTCTCACTGACGAGGCTACCCTGATTTAATCAAACAGTAAATAAAAATAAATAAGTGTTCACCGGAAGTTTTGAGGGCCACCCAGTGGAGCAAGGTTGAAGGTATACATTACTGTTTACCTCAAAGTACCCCTCAAAAATACCCATTTCTTGTCTTGAACATGTACATGTATGTACAAGCTTTTAGACATTAAAAGAAATCTTATTAGTAAACTCGGGATTTTCCAGATTTTTAACAAGGGCTCTTTGCAAGATCCTAAAATAAGGGAAATCTTGATGAAAAAAATCCTGAAAACATTGGCAAAAACCCTGACAGATCTCAACTCTGACATTACAGAGGGGTGTGTCAAGACTCTTCAATCGCGTGAAGATTTGGGTGGATTGGGTAACTGAGTACGCAGGTTTGGACAAGACTATGACACTGGCCGCCCCAATGTGATAAAAATTCTCCCACGAGAGCATCTGAACTTATAACAGTGTCCAGCAAGCACCTCTGAAAATCTCACAGAAAAACAAGAAGCGGGTTCAAAGCAGGAGAATCCTTCTCCTAATAATTACATCCTCTGTGTTCACGTGAGCACAAAAATTGTCCAAACTCTCTAAACGTATCGAGGGCATTCTTCGTCTTCAAGGCGACTCGATAACTGCCTCGTTCGCAAGATTATAAATCTTTAGAAATGGCTTTCATGACTGGGACTTTGTCTGTTGCCAGCCTGTGCCCTAGTATTTACAACAGATGAAGACCTAGCGAGAACTCTAGACACAAGACGCGGGCATGGCATCACACCAGAAGACAAGCCAACACGTCCAAGTCACAACTGGCGACAGCGATCGCAGACAGAGGCCATTACAGGAGAAGGTCACGCGATTTAAATGGTCACTGCACACGCACGCTGCTTTTATGGCGAGTTTGGCCGAGCAAACTCCACGGTCAAAAGAAATGGCATCGTATTCATAGCAAAGAATGACATTACCGACGAATGTCCATAAGTACCAAAAGCTGGAAAAACCGGATGTCTGTGTCAAATTCTATTCACCCACGGTCTCTCAAAGAAGACAGCGTCACCTTGATTCACACAGTAGATTTCAGTTTGAACACCTGTGTTCAGAACAGAACTTTTTGGCGGTCCGATTCTAGGTACAGCGACCACATGGCACAGATATGTTCAGATTACCCAAATAAAAAAGTACCAATTGAACTGCCTCTATAACCAATGGCAACTGTAAACTGGTTGGCAGCTGATGGCTCCCCGCAGTAAAACTGGTAAACTAATACAACCTATTGATTATTAATTAAAATATCAACGGTCGACAGTTAATGGTTGCTGGGCCATACGAGCTACATGTTAACATTCCACTTGAAGAAATAAACTGATCACTTACCTTCATCCTGAGAATTTCCATTGGCCGATTCTGTTCGTCGACGATACTCTTTTCCCAGAGTAGATCCTACAAAAGTAGAAATTCCAAACTTATAAAGCCTGATTTCCGAGAACTTGAGTGACCGTGTTTCCGCAACATCGGAAAACAGACTGAATTTGGCAAGAATAAATAAATCACAGAGATATGCATTTGTGCAATCTGCACTATGCACCTTTAGGGCTATAACGGTTTCATTGAACAAGACAGACAGAAACCCTTACGCAAGGCAGCACAGTGCAATTTCAATAAGACTCAAAAATTTCTCAGGCAAACAATTTTTTTTATTAAACTTGGTAGATCAGCACAGATATCGGCCTACAAAGAACAAGGATGGAAAAAACATAAAACCTCCGTCTAGGCAGACGACCCGACACCCACCTGCATAAAGGTGTCCAGCTCTTTGGACGCTATGCTGCCCTTCAGAGGCAGCGTCACCGTGGTAACCGAGGGGTCTAAATGATGACTGGAACCTTCAGATACGATGGTCTTTTCCAGACCCCTATCTTGTAGAACTTCTAGCCCACTGTGAAGAGGCGAAGCCAGAGTTTTCCCCGAGCATGCTGGGAATACGGGCATTTCACAACAGTGCGCCTCCAAGAGTTTGCAACGCGTTGGCCAATCACAATGCGCGGAATCCGTCGACCAGATGCGCATTTGGAAAGGGTCGACAGATTTCGAGCGTTGTGATCGGCACATTGCAAACTCTTGGAGGCGCTCTATTGTGAATCGCCCGTATTTTGAGAGGATTGTCTGATGGACTTTTAACACACGACCTGCTACCACAGACATTGTCCACCAATGGAGGCTTTGCATGGTAGCCATCTTTTGGGGCCGTTCTTTTGTTCCAAAGGGAAACCTCCTTTGTGCATACCCTCCTCAACAAAAGCACTGGCCTGCAAGATGGCAGCCATGCAAACCCTCAGTCATCAGTCTGCTTTATGGCAAAAAGCCTACAAAGTTACAGTATTATCACAAATAAATTAGGACACTGTGATTGCTATATGTGTAACTTCTGAACAGGGTCGTCAAGACATCTCTTCACATTTACAAAGTCAACATCCACCTGCTCATGGGGTCAAATCAACTGACATCTAATTACCATGTGACTACATGGATTCTCCAAGATTGGCCATCACTGCAGTGGGTAAGCATCTGGTCAGCAACCGTATTTTGGAGTTAGTAATCTAGACAAAGGGGCTTGTTTTCACATTAAACAACGGTGAATTCTTTATCATAGGGCATTGAGATCCAGCACTGGGAGCTCGCTTCATGTTCGTCCCATACTTTTTGTCATTTGTGAAAGCTTCACAGGTGTGTTGGTAAGAGCGCCCTCTATGAGTTACAACTGTGACTTTTGTCAGCATAAGCCCACGTAATGGTAAGATTCGGAAAATGGTCCTAGTTTTGCCAACCTCCGACCCCCCCAGCAAGACTCACCTTTTCTCGCCTTTGCTGTCGTACGCGTGGAGATCTAAAATCATATCTAAATCTATCCTGTTAAATATGAAACAAAAGCTCTCAGTAATTAAAAAAAGCCATAGATCATCCAACTCGATTTACACAGCCGAAAAATTTCAGAAAATAAACAATACTGTGCAGGTTTTCATCAATTTAAATTTGGCATGAAACATCACGAAATGATTGAAGATCCTTTTCTAGTTTCAGAGTCTTAGTGCTGTAGACTTTTTCAAAAACTGTTCATTAAAAAACTGGTGGGTACACTTTTCATCGCGATGATGCACAAAAGCTACGTAATTAGTGAATCAAAATAAGCATCACCAACTGACTGTATTTAAGAAGCACACGTAGTCACTTACTTTGATCTCTGCGTCTCCACTAATTTTGCAAGACTGTTTATCGACCTGAAAAAATATTTTTCAAAAACATTTGTCTCAATCAAACAAGATGGGAACTCTCCAAGTTCACAAATCATCAGACTTGTCAAAATGTCCTAACTTTTGATCAATCTTCCCTTCCTCAAAGTTGATCCAGAAATTATCCTTTCACAGGGAAAGCAATGCCTTACAGCTACAAATATTTTCTGAGTAGTTTCTCCGAAGAACTTCACAACTACTGTGGAGTTTGTCTTGACAAATTCTGCGCCGCAGAAATATTTTGTTGGACACTAAGTCAAGACATACCTGATCTGTCTGTTGACATCGCTAAGTTCTTCCTTGGTAACCAAGTCGGTCTTGTTGAGAAGAACGAGATCCGCCAATGCCACTTGTCTGGTAAGCGGAATACCAACCAAATTCAAATCACCCCTTGGTTATGATGTATTCTTAAGGGATAGTTTGATCATTCCCATTGGCCAAACATAGATCTGTATTTATAGGGGCAGCTGACAAGGTCAAACATGTCAGCCCTGATACATGTCTAATTCCCAATTTGCTCTGCAGACGTTGTCCAGGAAGTCTGAACTTAAACCCGGCTACTGAGCACGGCTTGTGATGTGTGGCAAATATCGCTCCATGGCCTACCTTCCAAATGTCGCAAATGCTGAGGTTTCGGTGAGAAATATTGCACAAACAGTAAACAAACATGGTTCCCAGCATTTCATGAAAGCCAAATTTTCTGATTTTTCCCCTGATTTATCCCTGATGAAGTTTCCAAATTCCAGGACAATTGTTGCCACCCATTCCGCCCAATAGCCTATCCTAATCTGTTGCCCTGTGTCGATCTTTTGAATAACTACAATGTCCGGACTCTTGGTGCTAGACACAGTGAATTATGCATCTTCATTAGAGTCTGAAAGATATCGTTCATTTCTGCCCCCAACTCGTCCAAATATTTCTGGTCACAATCTTAGGCAATCCCAACTGCTTGATATCCCCATTCAAGGACTCAACGATGTAAACAATCTCCGATCCCCTTCATGGCCACGCTACTGAATGCCGGTACTTGACTATAAATTTGTCTTGTGTTTTTATTTGGTGTTATTGTTTATTTTTCAATTTTTTTTCTTTATTTCATTTTATTTTTGCTTATTTTTTGCTTTTTTGGTTTTACTTTTGATTTCTTATTACATTTTATCCATTTATCTTGCACATCAGACATTGTTAGTCTTTGGTCAGGTTGTTTAATCAGTTTTAAAATAAACCGTAATGAACGAATGAATGAAATTTCCAGTTTGACACATCTTCAGTGTTGTCGAAGGCATGTCAGATGTGGACAGTATATAACAGAATGACCACATTCTCTTTTGAACCAAAAGTCACATTCTCTGACTTTTCCCTGACTGGAAGAAGGGAAACTCATCGGGGTTTTCCCTGATTTTCAGGACGGCTGGGAACCTTGTCAAATGACTTTTCCCCGGTCAGTGTTTGCAGCATTTGGCAGTATTTGAAACGTCTGCCGATACATTTTGCCTTTGTTGAAAGTTAGCTTTTCAGTGAAAACTACTACCATTGGTTGTCTTTAAAGCAAGGCTATGCATGTGATTACAGCAAATAGTCAGGCTCCTTCCCAAGTCAGACTGTTTGCTGAATAAAGCGGATCAGGGAGAATGATCCAAAATGGCCATCTCGTGAATGAATCTGATTGGTGAATATAGTTCTCTGGTCAATCTTGTGCATTTCCTGCGAAATGTCTAAAGACAAATCCCTGCTACTTTCCCCACTCATTTCTATTCACCCCACAGTTCATTCAAATTCACCTGATGGCTTCATTGATAACCCCGTCCGGTTTGACTTCGTCAAGGTGTCGCGGGCCGTACTTGGCGTCAACTACTACCACAATGCCTGTCACGAGAAAAATGAACCGGAAGAAATGAAATCTTGGAGTTCAATTCCGCATTTTTGGTTTTAATACCTGAAGCCTCCTTCGCAAATTAAAAAAAAAAACACACAAAGCACAAGTTTTCATCAGGAAAATGCTGAAAAAAATTTAAAACACTGTCATTTTTTTTCTTTTTCAGAAGTGTGACAAATAAAAACTACTGCGACCTCTCTCCCGAAAAGAGTGACCTGAAATATACCAATCAAGGCAGTTTTTTTTTCTGTTCCTTTTAAACTGTTTAATGAATAATTTACTTTTTAAATCGTTGTAAGACTTCTGATGCATTTCATTTGAATCTGCTTGAAAGAAGCCTCCATAATGCAATTTTTCTCTTTTAAAACAGAAGAAAATTTTTCCTTCCTTTTTATGAATTTTGCATTTGAATATTCAAATTCGAAAAATAATATTCGAATATTTGACAATCGATCGAATATTCGGTTTTCAGATATTTGGCACAGCCCTATAACAATGTACACTTAGTGCTTGTCTGAGAGCATCAATACATGCGTCTTTGCATAAACCTGTACTCACCATCTAGGTATATGTCGCTTCCCAGTTCGTCGTCCAGCCAGAATATTGAGGCGATGGGCCCTGCAGAGCAAACGAGCAGTCAAAATGTTGGGATACAAAGGAGGCCAGTGTTTTCCCCAAAACTGTGAGCTGCTGTGTCTCAAACTCTTGGGTTCGGAAACAATTTTGTTTTCAAAAATGGCATCCTTTTCCTGCTGGTATGAGGCCCAGGTGGGCCCAAGAGAGGGCGCAATTTACCTTGGAGCGGAGGCTTCTTTGGTAGGAAGCCCACTTCACTGATTCACAAACGCCTATGAAATAAATCCATTACAGTCGCATCGCTGACAACAAAATGAACACTACCTACCAACATGGCTTTTTTTCAACTGATGAGGGGGCTCTTCTGCTTAAAGCGAATTGTGTTGTCATTAAGACTCAGGACACTTGTTTTGGTGTCTAATACTTTATGAAGTTCAGTGCGGTAGTCTAGCTCATAAATAATGCACTGCGTACCTGGGTCGGCCAGACCTGTGGTCTCTAGAAGAATGTAGTCAAATTTTCCTCTCTTCAACATCAGGTTCTCAATTGCTTTTACACCGTTATCCCTGAAGGAGAAACAAATGCATACATTGATATCTCAGCAGAACTTTGGTCTGTACATATCGGTTTGGATGCAAATGGCATGCAAAGCCAACTTTCACCGGAATGAGCACAAAGCCTGTAGCGTCTTTAAGTATGTGCTATAAGTGCACAGCAGAAATGGCATGCAAGATTTTTTCATCTCCATCAGTGGTCAGGTGGTGTGTGTTTGCAGACAAGGCAAAAGCCACGGCACATGCACGGCCAACTTTCAACAGAATGTGCACAAAGCCTATAGCATATTCATGTGTATGCCAGAAATACACAAGCAACAGCAGGCAAGCATTTGCCATCTCGATAACTTTTGACAGCACAACAGAATCCATAGGATGTAGATATTTTATTTGGTCAGATTGTCACATAATCGATAACAATGAAACTGCCGAGCTGCAAACAATCAGAATAAGAATGAACAAAAAATTGACCGGAACAGGATTCGAGCCTATGACCTCCAGAGAACGGTGCCGGCAATCTACCATCTGAGCATGGTGGAGCACAAAGACAGTATTCTGGAGGTCACTGGTTCGAAGCCTGCTGCTATCAATTCTTTGTTCAGCGTCACAGTCTGGTCAGACCCAACTTACTTGACAGAACAGCAGAGGCAACCGTTGCGCAGCTCCAACCACTCCTCGTAGAGCTCACCTGATTGGCCAATCGACATGGACTTCTCCACAGCGCTGCCTGCAATTAGAGTCAGTACAACACAAACCGTACAGCCACTTTTTAGTTTACTGCCTGATGAAATGATTCATTGATAGGAACGGGTAAAGACACTGTGCATTCACATTTTGATACTGCACAGTTGCAGGGATCATAAAAATGTTTTCATCTTTTTCAAAAGCGTACAAGATACATAATGGTGTGTGTTTGTCATATGCTTTGAAAATGGCATTTGGATTTCGTTTAAAAGAGTGGATGAACCTTTACTATTACAATAGAACTATAAACACAAACCGTTATTCAAATAGAGTTATAATCTTTTATCACTTCCTGAGTAGTGAGGTTTCTACTGGGACAGTCCTATAAGCCACTTTCAAGTCCAAGTTCTCCATACAAAAACTTGCTTCTAGGCGTAATCAGTTGACTTTGCATCTCGGGACTGCTATTATTAACTCTGATAGACATCGTCAATTACTGCCTTACACATATCAAGTTACATCTGGACAAAACCTTAGACAATCACAATTATTACAAATTCCGCGGTGCCGAACACAGAGATAAGAGCAATCATCTGCCCTTCTATGGTAAAGTTGCAGAATGGTTATGTTGATGATTTGTGATTGTCTTTTTTTATTGATGTTTTGCTGTTGATATTTGTTGATGGTTGATGTGAAACTTTTAGCTTTTAAGATAAAATGTAATTATGATACTTTTATTTTTATTAAAAAATTTTATTTTAAGTAACGGTTGCTTTAGTGTTTCCAAATACTTTCTAATTTTTGTGTAAATCAAACATCTTTAGCCTTCTGACTTGCACGTTTGATGTTTTTAAAACAAATAAACCATATTTATCTATCTATTAGTATAAGCAGCCAAAATTTGTAGAGAAATCCCTCTTTGGTTGACTTTCAAATTCACCTCAATGTCATTGCACATGTACATATCATCGGACACACCACGAACTGACACTCAGTGGTGTGCGAGGTGATGCAATTTGTGCGCATTTTAGAGAACCGAGGTATTTTCATTTTCACGAGATGGCACCCAGTACAGTGCGGCACTTTCAGCGCGCACTCCGTGCATTTTTGTTTTCATGAACTGACACCGATCTTAATTTCACCAGTTAAAACGACTTTTCATGAAGTATACATGTGGATTTGATTCGTGTCAAACTTTCCAAAGTAGTTTTCTTCGCGCTGTATCATTTTTACAAGTTTGGGTGTCAGTTCGTGAAAACGAAAATCAGTCTATCTCGTGTCTGCCTCCAATGTGCGCGTGCGCCCTACCGGGTGTCAGTTCGTGAAATCGAGTGAAATTCCCAGATGTGGCTCCCTCAGGGCGGCCTACCTTCTCCAAACTCGTTCAGAATGACAGCGATCTTCTTGTCGTGCTGCTCAGTCAGAATGTAGTTCAAGAGCGTCGTCTTCCCGGCCCCAAGGAAACCAGTAATAATGGTGACTGGTATCTTGGTGGTCACCGTGGCAACCAGCTCTGGGCACTCCTCGTCGGAACTGTCTGCCATGATGCCAAAACGAATGCGTTCCTGAGGCCACTAGATGGATCTGTGTGCGAAAAGAGCGATGGAAAAAATAACATGTCTGAAATGTCTACAAGTCTGAAAATATCACGTTTGGATCTAGAAACAAATTAAATTTGAAATGTCATTTGACCACACGTCAAAATTTGCAATTCATACTGTGACTTGTCTGTCTAACCCTTGCTGTTCAGCTTGGGAAACCCACTTCTACGGCTCTTAACCAGCAGACTCTTCAAAAAAATCTTTTTAACATCTGGACATAATGTGGCAGAAAGAGTTCACAAACCCTATGAGACTGGTTTGAAAAATTCTACCATCCTTGACCTTGGCCATATACCAGAGTGGTCAGGTCCCTAATTTTGCCACCTATTGTCACGTCTGATTGGCATTCACAATAAGGGGCAAAATAAGAGACCTGGCTACTGTACCGTCACAAACTTTGGGCGAAGTGTTTTTTAACTAAAGCGCTTCAACATTTTCCCTGTTCAATTTGATTTTTTAGGACATGTCTAGTCCACTGCAGGGGAAAATGAGTGATGACCGCATACACAGCTCCTTCCACAAAGTGTTTTAGGCCCTAAAATATCAACAAGCAATCTGTGAAGTTATATTTACCCTGCTCACCAATAACAACAACATGCTAACTGGTTTATGTATTACACGGACTGAGCGATAAGATACTACATGTGCCAATGGGCTCTTCAAAAACTTTGGCAGCAGTTTAAATGTCTTGACATGGAACAGCCATCGAGACGATGAGGGGGGGTCAAGTGACGTAATGTTCACCGACCTTATTTCAAAGATGGCGACTCGACTGTGAGAGCGAGCCCGTTAGATTGAATGGGTAAAGGCAAAAAGACTGGAAAATATCTGAATATCGTGAGTGAAATCATTCAATAAATGGTTTTTAGAAAGCGGAAAGGTCAAGAATCATGTTCGTGCGCAAAAGAAATTGCGCCCACGATGATAAGTGGGTGCGCCGAAAATGTTCAGTACGCCGACAAGAAATTGCGTATCTGTGTGGTTAAGGATGGATCGGGGAGTGAGAGTCCGTGCCACACACGTGGGGCAAACGGCATGAATGATGTTTTGGTCAAAAAACTGTTTCTCCCTTTGGAAAATGAAAAGCACTTTTGATCATGTTCGTGATAACAACTTGAATGCTTACAATATAATACAAACAGGCAACCTGAATACAGCGGCGGTGAGACACTTACCGTCGTTACAACACAGAGATTCAGATCTTCACTACGAGTGCGAATGCAAGCGTACGTGTTGAGGATCGGATATTAGGACGCGAGGAAAACATTAGGGCGCCCTCTTTAGTTGAAATTATTCCATCCACACCGTACCGGTACAGGCTGATCGAGGGCGCCACCGGATCGGACGTGAGGTAGAAGGAAGGGGGCTGAATTAAATTTAGAATAAAGCTGGGACTCGGTACTGTCATGGCTGTGGACGTATTCCCAGTTGATAAAGAAAGCTCACTGCAGACAAAGCCAGTTGTGTACACAAGACAGTCATGTTAACTGTCTACCGCAGCTATGCCACAGTTGGAGGTAACAACTATTACAAAGGCATATCTAAGTGCGCTGGTACAAGGGCGGATCCCGATTCCTGAGCCCTGTCTCGAGGGAGGAGTTCTGAGGGAGCCATAGTGTTTAAACATTTCCGATGGGGCATTTCCTGCGTCTTTGAGACGTTTTGGGACTTGTTACCCGCTTTAATTTGGTCGAGAAGGTGAGGAAAGGAAAGTTTGAGTCCTGTCCTTGACCTCTTTGTTTTTAAGACACAAAGAAGAAATTGACAATCGACGGGCGCAGTATGAATACGGGCCGGAGCTGTAGAAAAAAAATTCTGGGGGAGGGATCAGCCTTCGTCAGATTCTATATCCAGTTGTTGCCTATAGGAATATGCCAACCACGGTTGAGATGACTCGGTCGTGCTGTAACGAAAGAACAATCTCAAGCCGAGCCGGGTTGCATGTGCCTCGCCAACATCAGACTCGGCCAATAAGGCAGTCCAGCAATGATAGAGCGCGTCGCTTTCATCGCTTGCTTCTATTTTCTACGATGGTGAAGAACTCTAACGGGTGGATTGATGTTTAACTTTCATTTCTCCACTAAGCGTAATGAAAAGCCCACAGAAGCTACCTCATAAAGGGTAGACAAGGTTACATGAAAATGTCCCCTAAATATCCCCTCCCCGAACACACGTTTGGTCCCCCGCAAATTAGACCCGTCCTAAGGATTCTATAGAGATCCATCGTGTATTCTCAAAAGAGCGGCGGGGACAGACAGTTTTTCCTATATCGCCACAGTAAATTTCTTTCAGGAGTCCAGCCTTTAGAAGTGTTTAGAGTAACTCTTTGTGGTCATTTTTACACTAATTTTGTGAAAATCGAACAAACCGTTCTTACACTGCGCACATTTTTTCCCGACACAGGTCAGCCAAAAATGTATACATTTTACTTCCACTGTACGCGCGGCCACGTTAATTGAGGCTGGCACGCTGTAGCCTTCTAACAAATGACCGAAACAAAAAAATACACAAATGTAATGATAAGGAGTGTCATTACACGCGTGCTAAGTTTTTTAAAAAATCGAAACCTGGCACAGCTGAATTCGGGGGGAGGGGGCGGCGTCCACCCCGGCTGTGAGATGGGCCCAAAAGCCCCGGTTTTAGGGTTAAGGGGTAGATCTTATTTATGGGGAAAAGATGGTTGAAACTTTCTATAATCGGACCTTAATCGAGAACCAGACCGTCTTACGTGTTTGTGTGCCAACAAAGACGAATTAAGAGAGCGGGAAATGTTTTCAGTGGAAGATTTGAGGCCTTTCAAAAGGACAGAAATATAAGAAATTCGAGTACCATGCAATAGAATATTCACGACGATCACGAATCATCATCGGCGCGATACTGTAAGCAGCAGATAAGGGCCCCAAAATATTTGCCAGGGACCAAACGGTCTTAAACTGTCCAACAACTACCTGACATGAATTCTGGGGATATGGGCGGTATACATCCCTCCCTCCCACTTTTTGAGGGGGGTGGACTTTTGAATCACCCCCCACTTTTTGTGGTGAGCAAATAAATCAAAGCGGATTTTGAAAAAGGGGAAAAAATTTAATAATCCATAAATATGCCCTTCTGATCTGAATACATATTACTGATGTACCGGTACATAAATATCATGAACATCGCCCTCTATATAGAGTCATATGATGTCACCCTCTCCACTACTTTCAAATTTCCATAGCTGGGCAAGTCACCCCCCTCTTTTCTCAATTCCCCAATTTCCGGCACAGATTAAGAAAAAAGATGGATCAGTCTTTACTGCGTGAAACATAGGGCAGATAGGTACATATCAGGGTCAAGACCCCCAAAAGACACAAAAAAGAGTTTTACAAAATTTTGTCTTTTTTTAAGAGAAAAAGGGTGATTTCGGGTTCGTTCATTTCAATTCATTTCTTTTTCCCTTTTAAAACGTTCAAAAGTTCCCAGAAGGTGTCCTCACTCCTTGGAAAGTCCATATAAAAAGGTTACATAAATTTTGCCCTTCCCCATTTTTGTCCCCTCCACAAAGGTCCCAAAAGGCCTAATTTTTTGTTTGGACCCAATGTAGGTCCCAAAAGGCCTAATTTTTCGTTTGGACCCAATGTGACCTCATTTTAAATAATTATTTTCATTAACTTTAAACATTTTTCTAAATTTTCCTTCTCCTGGATTTCCTGTTATCTTTTCATTTCCTAAAACTATCCCTTTCAATCCTAAACATCTCTAGTTTTCTTAAGCACTGCCATGCCCAACACCGTCCGGGACACTTGATAATAACATTCTGGCTGAAGCTGGGATATCGCACTTGACTATAGGAGGCAGATCTAGCCGCTTCCTCCGGGCCAGGGTAAGGGGCTATGGCTTATCAAGAAAGGGTGAACTCTTGAGAGCGCCCTTTACAGAGACCGGTGAAATCTTTTTGTTGCCCGCAGTCAAGTTGACGTCGATCACTTGAATTGAGTTTAGGAGGGAGCTTCACTTTGAAAGAAAACAGAAGTGGTTTGTAGTATCATCGTTCCGTCGCTTACCTCAGAAAGTGAAGGATATTTCTGTTCGATCATTGCTAAACACGTAAGTTTGTAAAATATGACGTACGGTGTTACTTTTAGTTCTAACTTCAAATGAAAACCTGGCTGTCTTAAAATAATAGGCCCATAATGTAACAATCCTAATATGCATGCCCGTATTACCGGGTACTGTGGGTAGAATTCAATTAAAGTGTACATGTGTAGCTAGGCCCACATGAAGTAAGAACTGGACTAGTACTAATGGGGTCATGGAGGTACACGTTCACCACGTCAGCCTCCTTTCTTTCAAACCATGTTGCTGTATCGACGTGCCGCATAGGCCTAGTTCAGTAGTTGGTAAATTGGCAGGAAACCAGGAAAGAGTCCCAATTACAAGAACACCACCCTGCAGTGCATGGAGTCATACAGTGTATCACGTATGCAGCCATCAGAAAGCGATGACATGTTTTTTAAGTAAAAAGTCAACTTAGCAGGGAAAAAACTGAAGCATGTGCACAGGGTGTCAAGTGATGTGGATCAGGGGAGATATATGCAACCATAAAATGAAGCCAAGCCACGGTGGTTGTGTTTGTATTGCACATGCCCAATGTGTATTAGACTCACGTTGCAGCCGTTCATCCGTATATCAACAGTAAAAACACCATCAACCTGTGTGAATTGCGGTAGTCAAGCGGTTACAGCATAATGGTTTGTGATGCATGGGGTGTGGGTTCGAATCTCAGGTCGAAATTGTGGGCAGGGAGGTTTTGTTTTTAAAGGAAAATAAAGCCCGAATGTTATAGGAGCCTAATTTCACACGTGAAGTTTTTATGGTTGGTTGAGCATCTAGATGTCATGCATTGTGCATGGTTGTGAACTGTGGTTTGGCTTCATACATGTGCTTGCATATATAGCTCGGTCAGGGTGTATGGAACTCTTTCCAAATATACATGGCCTACATAGGCCTACATACATACATGTAGCTTTGTTGGTCACGAGATGATGCCAGTATGTACGCACAACATTAAATTCCACTTAAGAACCGAGCAAGCACGTGTGCTTGTAGTTAGCACATTGGACCACTGTTGCAATGTTCAGCGCAGCGTTTGAAATCTACAAATTTAAAGTTTGCAGATGTACTTTTTATTTTAGGTTTGTATGAATTCAATGTAAACATTGGGTCTCTTGGTCCATTTTTGAACGTGATTTGTGATGCAGGATGATTTAAGGCGTGGGTTTTATCGGGCACAGGTACATTTATACATCTGCCATGATATGTCAGAAGAACTCGGACGTTTAACTCGGACTTCACCGGTGCTTCCCTCTAAAAAATCCTTAGAGCCAATAAATGAAAACCAAAAAAACAAAATCTGTTATAAGAGTAGGATCCCAGACAAAACAAATAACAATCAGGGAAAATAAGGATTTCGAAATGACCCCAAAACATCTTGTTTGTTACTGGAATTCTACGTGTAGCCTGTACGCAAGGAAAGAGTTTCCCAGCTTGACTGGTGCCAGACAGCTGGAGACTTCAAAGGGAAAGGAAACCAGTCTATATCCCAGCATCCCTGCCCGGTCGAATGTTAAACATTATGACTCCCTATCTGCCCCGAGCTGAAGTGCACCCCCAATTGGCGAAAGAAAGACAGGTTATAAGCGGGTTCTTGCACGCGTTTTGCTTGTATACAAAGACCATACATGCCAGAATAAATTAGTTAGGCAGACAGTGTGGACATTCCTTTGTTCTCCTGTGTTTTTTCTCCAACTAAGATAACTCCTCAGAGCTACATTTTTGATGATGATTTCATGGACTGTTCCTCTTCATTTTGCCACAGATAACCTTGACCCCAAAATGCCTCTGAAACTGTTTTTCAGAGAGGGGAAAACATTGGGTGGACGTGTGCGAGTCCACACAATGCCATCCCACCCTAAATTCATGAATAATTCATGAGTTTAATGTTAGCCTACATTCAACTGCAAGGAGCTGGAAATTGGGTTGTTGTTTTTTTTGCAGTAGAAATATGATGACAAATCAGTCCTCATATTGTTTTTACTACCCACCAGCGCGCCAGTGAACATACCCGTAGGGTGGGACCAAGACATTTCACCACGACAAGTCTGTGTTTGGTTCCAACTTTTGTGCTTAAAGTTACACATACATGTGTGTACACCCATGCAGGCGTGGTGGACTTCTTAACAAAAGAAGCCCACGTAACTGCTTTGCAAGCAGTTGAGTTTTTTCCTCTTTTATTTCATTGATTTAATACACATGTATTTGATATTGAAAGTAGTATTCAGATATATTTTATAATTGATTTAATATCTTAATATTTGAATATTAGGCACAGCTTTAATTTACATGTACATGTAATAGCTTACTGTGTGAGCTTTCATGATTTTCTCATGCAGCACAAGGTGGAGAGAAACCCAATTACCCTTAACTGCTTGTTCCTCTGTCCCAATGCCCGTGTGGGTAGCCCTAGCCCCGGGCTGTGGCTGCAAAATAATGCATGTGTTATATGGGAAATGTACCAAGCTGCAAGCCAACAGCCTCCATAGCTGCCTGTGCTATTTTTTCAGCCACAGCCAAGTGATTTCGCACTCGGCTGGGGCTTCTCGGGGCAGCACGGCTCCCTCTCAGATGCAAGGATATGACGGGGCTCGTCGGATAGGAAGTGACAGCTTTTCTTCACCTGGCTCAGTTCCCTCTCCCCGTAGTCACTTTGACTGTCAACAGGGGCCGTCCTGAGGGTTACAGACTTGCACCCCCCCCCAAGGCACTCGGCCGTGGGGATGACTTGCCTTTTTGGCAGTAATTTATTCTGGCGTGCCATGCCAGTTTCCTCCCTCAGAAGGGAGTTACCTGTGTCGTCAAACTTTTACCTGTGTCTCGTCTAGTGTTGTTTTCAATTGTTTAACGTCTGCAGACAAGTTTCTGCAAGTCTGCCATGCAGTCTTGTTTTTCCTCAATTAAAAAAAAAAAGGTGTTTTTTTTGTTCAACATTTTAAAGGTTTGTGTGCTGTCCATTTGTCAAGCAAATCATGAGGCAGGGCGCCGCTCCAAACCTACGTGTACATCAGTTGGAAATTGAAAATTACAGTCAGCTATAAGGATTCAGAGATTAAATCACACGGAAATAATGAGAAGCCAAACGAGTACACTTATTCCGTCTTTCTTAGCATGGATTTGTGTCCAGAAATAAAAAACGACTCTGTGACCAAGCTGAGCAAAACTTCCAAAGATAAACTGGTTTGCCAACAAACTCATTCAAAAATCTGGATCTTGAAGTCCTGGCTTTTCTCCACTCTCATTTGCTGTTCTTGATTACTTATTCTCTTTTTTTTTCCCCCTCTGTCTCTTTTTTTTCTCCTCTTGTCTATTTTTTTTCCCGACTCCATGATGTATTTGAGTAGAAAACATTGGGGATGCTCTATTTGTGTTCCTGGCACCGTTCAGCATGTTGGGCAGACATCTCAGACATGTGTCAGAACAGCTCCAAGCCCCCCTGCCCCCACTCCCCAACGGTACCATTAGCCTATTTGTACCGTTAATCTCTGAACCCTTGGCCCCGAGAAGTCCTCCGAGGTCCTCGGCTTCCAGAACTGTTCTTCAAGACATTGGATACACCTTTTCCTAAACGTCAATGGCTGAGTCTGCAGCAGTTAGCTTTCCTCCCCGAGGCGCGCTGCTCCTTCTTTTAGGGCCAGACAGCTCCTCTCGTCAGTCATTTTGTAGGCTTCGCAGCTTGCCTGAGCATGTATCCAGCTGTTGTGTGCGTTTGACGGTCAGGTTTGGAGGGGAACCAAAAGTGTGTTATCTTAATACAGTCTTACACATTCCCCGAAACTGACCGCACTTCAAGCAAATGGCCTTTGTCTGTCTGTACAAGCATTGCCGATCAACTCACTAACTTGTTGAGGAGACAGAAAAGTATTAACTTGGAATCACACTGGAGACTGCAGCATCTGGTACTTTCCCCTCCAAAAGGATTTTCCCAACGAGCAAAGACAATTTGTGTAGCTAGACGTTTTATTGATTCGTCTCCTTGAAACATTTTTGTTTTCATGAAGTGCAGAGGAAGCTTGTGTGGCGAAGAAGGAACTTTCCCAGCAGACGTCTGTGAACTCTAAGCAGCGGCAAAGGGACAAGCCCTTTTGACTGTCAGTGACGGAAGGCCAGCATCATTGTTCCCCGGGGGCACCCACGTTGATAGGTTATGGCGTCATCGTCACAATCTAGGAGTGATTCCTCACTTGACGTCAATGTGGAAAATATCGAAAAGGTATGCACAAGTTACGTACGTTTCGGAATGGATAGGGAATAGTGCTGTGTTTGCAAGTAGACTAAGCGTTCCCATTCTGCTTAATAGCAATTTAATTTAAACATCTTATAAGCTACATGTAGTGAGCATGGTGGTGTAGTTGGACCTCCTAAATACCAGTTCCAAGCTTACCGCTAAATATTCAACTTGTGCAATGAGATGTGTGAACAAAGCTAGGAAATGTGGGTGTTGTGGATGATGTAAGATTACAAAATAAATGTACATGTAAGACTTCAGGCTCTTTTGTTGTTGAAATTCAGTTTATACCGAGAGAGAGTTGTTGGCTGAACACTTTTTGAGTACTTTTGTCGAAAGAATTTCAGTTTCATAACACTGGTAGTCCGTAATCGTAAATTTATTTTGTAATCTCAACTTGTATGCATTTTATGTTCACGAATCTTTATTTACAAGTACCGGTACATGTGGAAAGCATATGGTTATGGGTAAAAAGAGCATGTTTGTACATGTACATGTAAGATTGATCCTTTTTTCAAGCTAGCTAGCCAGCTTGAAAATGAATGAATGAATTATGAATAAACATGCAGAACGGTGTACCGAAAATTGGAGTCTGGTGTTCACCATGTACATGTACATGGAGGTAGTAAGTTTGCATTTGTTATAATATTTTTAATTTAAAAGAATTTGGTTTATTGTGATTTCTGGGGGATTGGGTCGGGTGACCAGAAACAAACCTTTTGGGGGGCCCTGATCTCTGACCTTTGACATGTTGCAGGCCATCCACCAGCTGTACTATGACCCCCACCCAGGGGTCAAGGACACGGCCCAGCGTTGGCTGCTGGTGGCCCAGCGGTCCCAGCACGCTTGGCAGTTCTCCTGGACGCTACTGAGCCCCGACAAGGTAAGCCATTTGGGAACAAACATGGGGCCAATCGTGCCAAAAACCAGGCTGGAGTTATTAAGAAATCTCCCAAACGTTGTGACCGACTGTACAGTCGCTGTTTTAAGTGTTGTCCACGTGTAACCTGCCTGTTAAGCTTTGATTTTTCTTCCCTTTTTCGTTTTTGACAAAAGATGATCCTTTCAGCTAATTTTCACAGGCTTCCAAGTTTTCTGTTGTTTAATTCTCTAGCTTTACTATTCAGTGTGCCCCCCCCCCAATAAAGGTGCATGCAGATGGCAACCCTTTAAACCCGTAATGTCAACGAGTGGTGTTTATACTGTAGCCTACCTGGTTTTAACCACTTCCTGCCGGGGAGCCCGGTTTCGGGCACCATGTGTTTATACGCGTGGCCGGGGTCTCGGAAATTGGACAAAGGGAACTGGGCCTTGTAACAAAGGCGGTATTTGTAACAAAAGACCAGGCTGCCGGGCATTACCGACATTTTTTCACTCTCAATAGTGGAGATAATCCAGCCTTGTTTTGAAACAGTAGTCCACGGTTTGGGGCATTTAGTGCGAGCGGATTACCTCCGGGGACAAAAGCACTCCCCCACCGCGGCGATGAGCCACACAGCACCGCTGCACGCTAATCTGGCCCCTATTGAAAAGAGGTCAGCAGTGCACTGTGCCAGGTTCATGAACAAAAGAAAGTTACATAACACCACACAATCTGGGCTCTTTTTACAAAGCTGCAGGCCTGGCTGAAATACTCGGGCATCAATAGATTTTGTCTGCCAGACTAGAGTGGCCACCAGACAGTAATTCATGGGGGTTTAAAGGTCCATTAATTGAAATGATGAATTTTTGAAGAATTTTGAAAACTGAAAATCTTGAAAAAGTCCCAATTATGTGCACGGCATTTTTCAAACCACCTGGCAGCAAGTGGTTAAAGAGAGCATTTGTAGGTTGGCATGCTTTTTTTTATGTTATCTTACTTGCTGTTGCTGATCTAGAGGTGCATGTGCGTTGCAGTAAACAGACTGCCTACTGACACTGAATGTGTAAACTGGACAATACAGTATTTTATGACCATTTCCACAAATAGACAAAACTTACAGCACATGTACTTTACAGTGTAAAAATAATCTTTCCAAAAACTCACATTTGAAGTTGGTCACTGTTTAAATCAGAATTTGTAGAGATTAACTTGAAGATTTGATTAATAAAGCACAAATCCCTTTATAAAAGTTCAGTCATAAGTCCCTTCACAAGTCCAGTCATAAGTCCAGTCATAAGTCCCTTCACAAGTCCAGTCACAAGTCCAGTCACAAGTCCCTT